GGATAGGCCAGCAGTGACATCACATGGCAGATCTCGTTCAACTGCGTCTTCTCGTACGCGGGGAAGTAGCGGCGCGAGTGCTTCACCGCCTCGAATCGCTGGTTGTGACGCACCAGCTCAATGAACTCCTGCACCCGCAGGCTGAAATCTATGGTCGAGTTTATTTTGCGCAGTTTCGATTTGTTGTCGATGCACCAGAGCACGCATTTGGTGGTGCTGTGATTGGCAAGGTCGTCCTCGACCTCGCGCGAATTCTGGAATATATCCAGATTGGTCAGATGGCGCACATCTGAGCGGGCGGCCAGCTCCTCGGCCGTCTCATAGTAGCCCATGCGCAACAGATGCTCGATGACCAGGCGGTCCAGGCGTATGCGCTTCCACTGGTCCACCGAGCCCTGCCACAGCTCCCCAGTGCCTGTGTTCGGTGGCATGATGCCCTTGAGATGCTCCAGCTTGCGTTTGCATATCTGTGTGACGCTCAGCTCGTCGTTGATGCTCTCCTCGGCCTTGCGCTTGAGCACCTGCAGCTTCTGGGCCACATTCCCCATCAGCTTGGTCACATCCGCCAGTATGGGCGGATCGGCGTCCAAGGCCTTGTCCACCTGACGCGATACGTTCATCACCTGGTCCACCTCACGGTCGATTATCTTCTGGGCCGAGCGGAAGCGCTTGTTCAGTATCTCGTATGGCACTTTCAGAGTGGCGTGCTCCAACGCCTTGATTTCCGACATTTTCGTTTTCCTTGTTTCGCAGAAAATGGATTTATATTTGCTTGCAATTGAGACGCAATTGCCAGATAAAATATACCGTCTGACCCTCCGAAATTGACAGTAATATACCAAAAAATATACTATTTTAGATACCAATATACCATAAACAAACGAACTTAACCCAATTGACACCCCACTATTTAACAGGTGAACAATTTGTGTAAAACCGAGGTAGCTCCCTTGTGGATCCAAACTTTCTCTTTACTTACACTTCGAGATTTTTCACCTGAACTGCGCAAACATTCTTCTAGTTTCATAACTTTCGAGGAATTATTTAAATACCCCCGTCGACAATGGCCTAATGTTAATTTTGATGATTGGTAATCATATTCCTCGATTTTGATATTCGGTCCAAAGCTACTAGCTAGCTGGGACTCTCAGCACTTAACGTATCATTTTTTCCGATAGATAAAACCATTTTATACAAGTAAGTCACAGAGAATATAGTGATTTGTACATTGCAATGAAGTTTACCAAGAATTTCCGTTTCCGAAAATCAAACCAACAATAACGTTTATTTCGATAGCAACTATCGGTGTTTGCAGCTCTGTGCCTTATCGATGCCTCCGTATCGCCTTGATACGCCTTGGGCGACTGAATTCTTTTCTATGCTCAAAATATCACCGCCGAATGCAAAAGTGAATACTGGGTGTGATTGTTATTTTGTAATAAAATCTAACTCAAAGCATGAGAGCGCTGGTCGAAAAAACCCATCGATCTATCGCGAAATTTGAAAACCATCAATACTATCGATAGTGCCATCGATGGTTTTGCAGCCCTGAAATCTTTCTTTTCGTCCAACCACGTTTCCGTGCGAGTTGTCAAAATGAATGCGAGCCTCCCAATTTCAAAGAAACGCAAGGTAATTTAACGCAAATCGCATTGGGAAATGCACAGGATAGTGCAACGCGCCTGCTGCATGTTGTTTGCATATAGTTGTGTGAAAAATCTGCACCAAACGTCGCTAAGTGAAGTGCATTCGGAGATAACCTCAAATCGCTGGCTGGCCTGGCGTCTTCGTTTTGTTGGTGGCAGCGTGGAGCACCTCCCCTGTCAATTGAAGCACAACAACTACAGCAGTGGATTTTGGTGTGGAATAATTGCTAATAATTGGTATTTCCATCATTTTAGTTCGTCTCCGACGGTATCTTCAAGGCTGAGCTGAACGAGTTCCTGACTCGCGAGCTTGCCGAGGATGGTTACTCCGGTGTGGAGGTCCGTGTGACCCCTTCCCGCACTGAGATCATCATCATGGCCACCAAGACCCAGCAGGTGTTGGGCGAGAAGGGACGCCGCATCCGCGAGCTGACCGCCATGGTCCAGAAGCGTTTCAACTTCGAGACCGGCCGCATCGAGCTGTACGCCGAGAAGGTCGCCACCCGTGGTCTGTGCGCCATCGCCCAGGCTGAGTCGCTGCGTTACAAGCTGACCGGAGGACTGGCCGTCCGTCGCGCCTGCTACGGTGTGCTGCGTTTCATCATGGAGTCGGGAGCCAAGGGCTGTGAGGTCGTTGTGTCCGGCAAGCTGCGTGGTCAGCGTGCCAAGTCGATGAAGTTCGTCGATGGCCTGATGATCCACTCTGGTGATCCGTGCAACGACTACGTCGAGACCGCCACCCGTCACGTGCTGCTGCGCCAGGGAGTGCTCGGCATCAAGGTCAAGATCATGTTGCCCTATGATCCCAAGAACAAGATTGGCCCCAAGAAGCCACTGCCCGACAACGTGTCCGTCGTGGAGCCCAAGGAGGAGAAGATCTACGAGACCCCCGAGACGGAGTACAAGATCCCGCCACCCAGCAAGCCCCTGGACGATCTGTCCGAGGCGAAAGTTTTGTAAACTTAGTTTTACTGTTCATCAAATGAGCGACTAGTCCAAGTCGCCCCGTAAATACAACAAACAAAACAAACTAGAAAACACACAAAGCCCTATAAATTCAATAAACCATCTGAAGATAACTAAACTTTAAACGAGAATGAGCAGCCGCCGAATCGAGTCTCCTTTTTGTGCAGTGCAGTGTAGACCCCGAGGTTTGCCCCCAAAAGTTTCGACTGTCCGAAGTCTGAGTGTGTGTGTGTGTGTGTGCCTCTTGTGGCCTGCAAACCAGTTTGGAATCTACTTTTATTTGTAATTCTCTTTATTTTTGTCGAGTTTATTTTTTTTTTGTTCAATTACTTGCGTCTCTCGCTGTCTGTCTGTATTTCCATTTCTTATGAAGCGGAAATCAGCGATTAAAACTGCTCACATTTTGTTCCCTGCCTGATTTATGAGGTTGTCCTTCGGTTAGCGTGTAGCCGGGACTCTGTGTCCGGTGTCCCACTGTCCGCTTGTCCCCTGTCCGCTGATAGCCTGGCTCGCTTATGGGTCTCTTATTTATCATGTTGATATGTTTATTTCCAAGCACTGTGACACGGCCCCGGCCCCAAAGGCATCAGGGACCAGGGCTATGGCAGCGGCAGCGGCAGCGTGAAAATCAACAATCGTTCAATTTATCAACATTTCCGAGATTATAGCGAGAGCGCCGAGAGAAAGAGATTCATGTTGGGGGCTTTTACATCGTGCCCATTTGAAACAAACTGAAATCGCAGCTGCAGCACACGATCCTCGCCCGATGACAAATGGCCACATGCAACACTCGCCCTCCACCCGTACCATGGAAATGGAGGTGGAGGAGGAGTAGCTGGTGTTGTTGCTGTTCCTGTCGGAGGAGGACTAGGGAGAGTCGGCTGTGGGCCATGTCTTGGCGGCATCACGCATCAAGTTGCGATTTGCGCAATAAATCTAAATTAGCCAACTCAAAAGCGGCTGGTTCCTGGTTTCCAGCACTATTACGAGCCGAACACCCCTCCTACACTCTCTCCGGCTGCTCTTCCTCCCTCCACTGCCACTTGGCCAATCAATTAGGGTCTAGAAGAAGCTAATTTTCAAAAACGATCTGCGGGACTGTGAGAAATCTTTGTGTTGCTATTGGAATTTCCATTGTTGCTGGTTTTTGTTGGTGTTTGGTGGATTTCAACGCTCGCATAAATCATACCAGAACCTTTTTAAACACGACTTTGAACGTATGATTTCAACACAAATTTGTAAATAAATTAGATCGTGATTATGGCCAACATCAATATCTATCTCCACCAAACATTGCAGCAGGCAGGCATCGTCATCGGCATCGGCATCTCCCCGGCCTCAGCCACGGCGGCGGGAGCAACATTATTAACCGGCCAATGTCTGACATGTGTGTGGCTGCCATAGCTCTCCTCTCCATATAGACAGACGGCAATAATACTAACTATATATTATAATGGCATAAACCACAACAGCCACAACAACAACAAAAAGCAGAAACGAAAAGAAATACAAAAAAAAACTCGACAATTGCCGTCAACAAGTCTGCAATGTCGGCAGCAGCAGCAGCAGCAGCAGCAGCAACGTGTTACTAGTCGCATGTTGCAGTTGTCTCTCAGTTTGTGTGTGTGTGTCTGTGCAACATGCATATTGTCTGTCGCGGGGCTGCACAGGTTCATAACTTGCCTGTCAGCTGCCAGAGTTCTGGTACAGGCAAATCTGTTGCAGCTAGGACGCACTATTTATACACTTCTTTTGTAACCCGAAAGATACTCCACGAATATTGTTGAGTCCAATGTTAAGGCAGATATATGTCTGTTCTTTTTCAACAAATTCCAAAATAAACTGCAAGCAACTTTCCTCAAAGTAGACTCAACAAATTCTTCCAATTTTACAATACCTTGGAAAACTGATTTAAAGATTATTATATAGTAGATTGATCATTACTCGAACTATTTGCTACTAGTGGATATCGATTAAAAAAGCTGATCTGCATTTATAAGTCTATGGTCAATAGATCCCCTGTCTCTTCCACTCATCCTTTTGAGCAATTCTTTTTCCAGCTAATTTGGTAGAAAATAAACAAATTAATGAGATACTTGAATGGACTTCCCTTAAAGTACAAGCAACTGTTGGCGTAGCGTTTCCCACGCTAAACACAATTCTATAGATGCATTTAATGCCTTATCCTGTTCTTTGATAAATACCATACTGGAAGATTTAACCTTCAGCCGCACCACAAGACGCATCCATCTTTGAGTGGATAGGCCACATCCATGTACCCCATGGCCGTGGCAAGTGTACAATAACAATGGCATCGTAACTGTAATAGTTGCAACTTGCAACTACGACGAGTATTTTGTATTTCTATAAGGCATAAGGCAGCTCTGCTCCGTTCTGTTCGAGTCTCTGCTCTAGCTATATTTGCTTTGATTTACCAACATTATTATGAGGTTTTGTGTCATGATTTTGCCATCATTATTTAGCATTAAGAAACGCTGGCTGGCGCGTAATGTGTTTTTCATGTGAACTGCCAGGCCAGACGACATTTATCATCATCATCAGATGCTGCTGCTGCCGCTGCTGGTGCTTCGAGTTGGATCTGCAGTGGCTGGCTCTCACTGGTAATAGCCACGTTTGCCAGCCTCCTCCACGATCGTTTGGAGTGCGGCAAAGGCTTCGCTGGCCGTGGGCTCAATCTCCTCAGCGGACAAAATGAACAGATCCTCGCTGTCCGGTGGCCCGCGCAGCTCGTACGTGAAGGTAATAGGCACCTTTAGATGACCATGAACCCAGTCCTTGGATCCGCCGCTGGAGGGATAGATGGTCTCGTAAATGCTGCCACTCCTGTAGATCCGTCCACTCTGCTCCTTGATCCGTTCGGCTGCCAGCTGTCCGATCTCCTTCAGATCTTGATAGTTCTCCACACGCTCTGGAGTGTGGCCATAGGGGAACATGATCAGCTGGGAGTAGCTGTGCAGGGAAATGAACGTCTTGATGCGCTCCGACTGGATGCGATCCTTTAGGAACTGGACGATGCGCTGCGTCTCCACCTCGCTGCCTGCCGACGGTCCTGAGTAGTCATAGCGACAGGGGTCGCCACTGGCCCCCGTCACGTTCCAGTGAAAGGGAAAGTTACGGTTCAGATCCACGCCCCGGCAGATGCCGAAGAGTGAGCGATTCTTGCGCCACATGCGGTCGCCCTTGAACGTGTAGCGATAGCCATCGGGATTCACTGTGGGGAAGATCAGCCAGTTTTGGGAGCGGGCCAGCGCCTGCACCGCCGCATCCTTGGAGTTCAGCAGCTGTTCGATGAAGTACGTGGCCGTGGCCGGGGCGATCCATTCGCGGGCATGTATCCCGCTCTCCACAAAGACGCTGGTCAGATTCTCCCCACCAAAGGCAATCCTTACACCCTTGATGGGCAGTCCCAGGGTGCTAGCACCCAGATCGACTAGAGTGACCACCTCTGGCCGCTGTTTGGCCAGATGCTCGAGCCAGGCGTAGATGCTGTCCAGCTGGAAGTAGCGCCTCCAGTCGAACTGATCCGGCGGTGTTCCCTCAGGGGCCACTTCGCGATAGTTGGCATCGATCAGAGCCTGGAAATTGTGGTTCAGGATGCGGTGGCTCACGTTGTAGCTATGCAGCAGATCATCGAAGTCGGCCACCTTGTGCGAGGTAACCATGATCGTCAGCTTCTGGCCCGGCACTCGGGCATGGCCCATGAACGAGCACGAATCGCTTGCCAGCTCCAACGCCTGGAACAGTTGGACGTGATCTGCACTCGCCAGCTCCACTTGATAGATGCGCGTGTGGTCGTATCGGGCCTGGGCCTGGACTTGCGCCTGTGCAGGGGCACCAAGGTGACCAAAGGTCAGCGACAGCACCAGCAACAATCGAGTGATCCACAACATCTTCACTCGCGTACAGTCAGAGCCAGTCTAATCGTTTTGCGTTCGTCAAACAACTGAAAGTGGAATACGCTAAGCGGAGCACAAACTGATAAGCAATTAGTTGTGAAGGGAGGGTCTACTTATAGCTACCCTATATTGGAACTACACTCTAATATCGTTTCCAGGCTAAGAATTGATCGACTGAACTGTTTCCTGAGTCAAGCTATTGCCCAATATGCTCATTTACATAAATTACTCGAGGAGTAGCATAAAGACAAAATATTGTCTCGTCTCCACAGAACATCTGCCCGGTCTGAGATACGCTTCGATGATGATATTTTCAGAGCGTATTTGTTATTCTCCTCTCTCAGAGCAATCGTATGTTGGTTGAGTAAAACTTTCCATTTGCATTTGGTTGTACGATATCTGTTGTACTTTATTTTATCAGCGACTTGTCTCCACTAAATAGAACATTGAGCTGTCAATAATATCACTAGCCCAAGTAAACGACTGAAGAATGGGATGGCAGTGGTTAGGTCGATCATCGAGATGGGATTAGCTCGCCAAGCAATTCGCAAACATTTTTTTAACAAAAAGCTGGTCATGTTCATTTCCCAGCACTTGCCCAAATTGAATGGTTTCTTGTCAACTGCAAATTTTCGCCGCACAGCCGCTTTGAGGGCATCTATTTGTTGCTCGTACAATCCGTTGAGAGTTGATGGAATATTTTCCCTGTCCATATCCGACAATTCGAACTTGCCTTCCCATTCACCATCCACGAATTCCGTTTCTTTGCACATACGAAGTAGATAATCGGCCAAGTGAATGTATGGATCACTCAAGGCATAGGACAAATATCGGATGCTGTATAGAGTTGGGTATTTCTGATGGGCGTGCACCATAGCTAGCTCATTTTCAGCATTGCCCCTAGCCACAACAGCCACAAGGTATTTGTCATACTGTTTTGCTTCAATGAATTTCAGGACTTTTGCCAGGGACTTTTGGATTACGACACGTCCGATACGTTGCACCTCGGTCGGCGCCTGTCGAACAGTAATGTAATGTTTATGTAAATTCAATAAAAAATATGTACATTTGTTTGTACATACCACCCGCAGATATAGAATGCGGAAGCACGATGCATCTATCAAATCAGCTCCAATTGCCACAGCCTTCCACTTCTGCAGTTGTCCTGGCACCTAAATACATATACATACATATATACACACATATTTATATAGCACTTTGTCAATATATGCATGTACTTTTAAAAGATTTATACTTACAATCTCTCTATTAAAATTGTACACGTTCAAGTGTAAAATAAATGGTCGATCATATAGTCTTAGTTGACCCAATAGATTGATCACACCGCTGTTCAGTTCATTGAGGTGGGATGGGCGCTCGATATGGCCTAAAGCACGATTCACTTTATTGGCATTTATGTCCAGAGAGACTGGCTCGAGAAAATTCCACATTTTTGACTTCAGTGTTTGGATTCGTGGAAACTATTTAATCTGACACATGACAATGAAGTTTAATATGTTTCTAATCAGCTCCAGCAGTGTGTTTGTGTTAGTACGGCAGGACATATAGTTAAACGCCGAAGATTTTTGTATTTACCTTTTTCGTACTTAGCTTTTTTCCACCGAAGCTTGCATTTTCCGCGAAAGAATGTGCTAGAGATGGACGAACATCGAATCGATGTTTTTTTCATCAAACGTCGATATTATCGCAAACATTTATTGCCATGTGACGTTCTACTTTGCTGACTATGTGCATGAAAAACAGAAATAGCCTCATGCAGTGAGAACGAGAGAAATATATTCTTTAGTCGATCTGGTGGCAGAGCAGCGTCAGAGAATCGTTATAATCATAATTTGACGGATTATGTTTTCCTATTCCTTCCCATTTTTCTCCTTCTCATTAGCTTTGTCATAAGACTAGATTGGTCTTGAAGTGCAGTGGTAAGAGCTTAGCTTCTTGATTTCCTGAATTTCCTGAATATCATCTGCCAGCTTTGAGAGGCTGAGAGCCTTCATCAAGAGATTTCTGTTTATTTCTGAAGATCTGTTCTATCTCCACCACTCTGTGTGCTCCTCTGATCTTCCCAGCTCTTCTCTCAGCTACGAGACAGACCCAACGGCAATCGATGTCAACGATTTATGAGCACCTTTCATAACACTTCATTAGTTACATTTTTGGTAGAATTTATAGCGCAATTGCAATCGGAAAACGTTTAACGAGCTTGTTCTGGGCATTCGCAGATGGTTGGCCGATGCTGGAGAGGGGGGGTGATCCGAATTTGGTCAGAGCAATCGGTGGCAACAAGTGCGCGTTGCGATGGCGCAACATGGGTCCAGTAGTGCCGCGTTGCGTCTTCGTTTCCTCGTGTGTATGTGTATGTGTCTGTGGCAGAAACAGAAATACTATGCTGCCAACACGAGAACCAATTAACGTGGTATGTATTTCCCTTTCCCCCCTACAAACGGCTTGAAATATTTGGCGCTGCTAATAGAGCTTAAATGGTAATGTGGTTCAAGGCTGTATGCGAGTGTACTATGCGAAGTCACTGAAGATCTTCTTCGAGGGATGTAAGAGTGATGCAAAGTAAAATATTAAAATTTAAAATGATTAGTTTTTTATAAGGTCTTGAAGATACATACAACTTTATAGATTCTGCTCGCCCTTTAGTTTCTTTCCCAAGAAGGTTTCACTTTCAATTTACCATTGCTTTTCGCTGTGTCTATCAATGGACAGTCGAACAATAATTTGTTATACAACTGCTGCCACCATCCGTCCATCCAACCATCCAACCCGCTCGTTCCGTATGGGAATACAAAAATGCATTTCTCTTAATTGACTTAACGTGACTTTGACTTGAGAAAAACCAATTACAAAGCCACATTAATATCTGGCAACAATTTGCTGCTGCTGCTAGCTTTCGAGCAATACAATTTTTCAAGTAGCATGCAACCGAAAATTTTAATTAAGAAAATCCATGGCTAGGCTCCTGGGGGTGGTTGAGGGTGGCATGTGGTTGTGGGGGCGGCTTATGCAGAGAAATAATCTTATCAAACATTTTGGCAATTAATTTGCGAGGGACATAGAGGGAGAGGAGAAGAAACTTAAACATAAAACAGAAGCTACTCCCTCCCGGGCGTGTGGCGGTATGGCCTACCGCTTGGACAGATCGACGCTAGGACAGTTGGACGGTTGGACGGATGGTTGTCCATAAAAGCATTTTAATTTCTTAATTTACCACAAACTATAAATCATGGCCTTAGGTGTTTTGGCCATATAATGTAAGCCACCTGTAAGCAGCAGTAGCATTCGGTTTAAGGCATTCGCATTCGCACCATTTTCCAACATTTCGCATTCGCTATGGAAATGCCTGACATCTCTCTCCCTGCCTCTCTCTCTCGCGCGCTCTGCCCCTTTCTGTGGCAGCTGGGGTGTTGTAAAAATACCAAAAATACCAGACAACCGTGTTGGTCACGTCTGCAGCAGGCTGCCACTGCTGCTGCTGCCTCAGACAAGCCGCTTCATTAGGTGATGCTTGTACATATTAATTAAAATGTGTATCCCATGGATACATGGATACACATATGTCCAGTGGGCTGCTGCTGCTGCCCATAGATGGTCGGCCACTAAATCATCTCCAAAGACTTTGGGGCCTGCTTGCACTGCTTTCGCATATGGAAATCGTTGCAACATTTGCCACTGCAGCACACTGTTTGGCTATGTTTTGCGTTAATTGGCAGCACTTTCTGGAGGCCATGCGCTGTTGGTGTGGTCCAATCTCCGGCCCAGAATGATTTCTAATTGTAATCTCACACTTGCAACGAAAATCTCATTAAATTAACAGATTAATTTACCATTTAATTTACGTTTAGGGTATTAGTTTACCATTTATTTTGCACTGATTTCGCATATGGAAATACCAGCAACATTGCTCGACTCTTGCACTGCTTGCTATTTCAGCGTAATTGGCATCACTTTTCTGGGGTGTATACAAGACAATAAATGCATTGAATTCGCATTGAAACCTGACCTACGGGGAAAACTACCATTTATTTTCAAGATTAATTTAATTTTTAGTGCAACATTTTTATGAGAATAACTAAGAGTTTCTAAGCACTACTTTCCCAATATAGCAGCCAGTTGCACTGCTTGTTCCTAAGGTAAGGGGAGGCCTGGGGGCACACACTTTATGGCGCACGAAAAGAATTCAAATCAAATTTAACAATTAAAGAAAAAATTCCATTCAATTAAGAGATCAATTTTCAGAGCACATAAATCAAGGAAATGTCAGAAATTTGCCATGTCTTGTTGCATTTTGTGGTCTGAGCCGGGCATTGGCTCCGACTTGGCTTGGCCAAATTAATGCAATTTTGTGTAAATTACTCATTAAAAATGAAATAAATTTCCGTTGGAAGGCATAAATCACGCCGCCTAGTAGAGTGCACCGAGTGCCACACAAGCCCAAAAATTAAAAAAAAAAAGAAAACCACTAAGACCCCGGACAAACATTCGAAACAAAAGTCTCGATTACCCTAGACTCGAGTTTTAAATGAAAAGAGGGAAGGAGCCGGAGCGGGGAGGGAGCTCCAATTATATATGTCTGTATTTTATTGCTAATGTGAGCTTGTCAGATCTGCCTGCTCGAGTGTCCGGCATGGCTGTCCAATATGTTCGAGGCCTGTCCACATCAATTAAAAGCGCATTTGACAATGATATTTATAATACTTTGGGGGTTTGTTCGGTTCGGTTCGGATCGGATCAGATCGGTTTGTGTTCGGTATTGGCTATAGCATAGGTTATGGCTTTGGCTTTGGCTTTGGTTTTTCCTGTGATCTGGTCGGTAAGCCTCGACAATAATTTTCCAAGTTCGGCAAGTGCTCTCCCCAAACCAAACCAACAATATACGAGTATGTATGTTGAAGAGTCTCAATATGATTGGCAAAATTAGTTTGGGAGCTGCTGCTGCTGCTGCTGTTGGTGCAACAATGTTGCAGTTGCAGTGGCAAACGGCAGCAGTCTGTTGGGGAGTCAGTCAGCGTCTGGCAGCAAATTATCAGCGGGCCAAAAACAAATGTGCAAAATGTTTGAATTCGTAACAAACACACACGAACACACACACAATGGCCATATTTGTTTGGGCCGAAAACTAATGACGTGGCTGGCTGGCTGGCTGCATGGCTGGGTCTGGGTCTGTGTTGTTTTAATTGTGAAATGCATTGCAATAAATTGCGAGATGGCCAAAAAAAAAAAAGCTAGAGCGAACCCCAGTAGTATGTATCCTGAAGTGCAGTGCAATTCAATTACAGCTCAATTTCAGAGCAGCAACAGCAGCAGCAGAAACAGCAGAAACAGATACAGCTACAGAAACAGCAGCCAACTGAGAGCTATGGCCATTTAGAGAGCACGGCGACAATTTGTTTATGGAACCGCCGCGGACTTTAAATGGTTCGGTGCATAAATCACTCGGTCTCGCTCCGATCAACCCCAATTGTCAATTGCCAATATCTCCCTGTAATTGGGAAGCTGGCTCCGCCTCAACGGATATTGGTCCCAGTCCTAGGCCCATACTCCCAGTCATCCACCCACCAGCAACAGATCCTCTTCGTTCATTGCAAAACAATTTGCATGAAACCCTGATCTATTTACAATTGGATTGGCTTGGCGTGCTGCCCTCGGGACGGGATGCATGCTGCATGCTGCAGAGTTGCTAACTGTTGCCACTTAATTTCTTAATTCCAAATTGCGTGTGCGGTGCTGTACCCTACCTTGGCAGCAGAGTACAATGTATAGTGTGTACGTGTATACTAATGACATCATTTGCTGGCCTAGGCAGAAAACAAGTTGCCCGAAAGCTAGACAACACCAAGGGGCAAAATATTCAGACAAAAATAAAACAGAAGCAGAGATGCTCTACAATCGATATAAACCTCAAATAGTCATAAATCGGATGCTTCTTTTTCTAGAATATATTAAATAAACCGGAAAAATTAAGGAAAAGGAAAATGAAAATGTAAACAAAATTCGATCACATGTAGCCCCGACTATCTATATTTACATACATATATACCCAAATCTATAACTCTTTTAGGCCTGCTGCATTCTTGGCAGCAAAGTGCATAGTATTATCCTTGTGGCTGAGGCTCAACAAGTGGCACATTGCATGTGGCAGCCATGTGCTTGCAACACACTACTCGTACGTCCAAAGCGTAACTCATAAATGTGGCCAAGGCAAACGCAAAACGACTTCCTGCTCCTCGAACATGTCATGGCTCGCTCGGGAGCAGCAGCAACATGCAACAACAACAACACACACACACACACACACACATGTGGCACTGCAGCGTGTTTCGTGCACGCAGGCGCCTCCTCTTCACCAAAAGTCTGCTGCCTCATCTTTAGCGGCCTCTTCAGTCAATAAAAATCTCTGGCTAAAAAATGTTGCCTTGCGAAAATCCCAGACCCAATCGCAACAGCACTCTGCCGCATGCCAACATGATTTTCCTTGCTTTTTCATTATTGTATTGCGACATTTTTGCAGCTCTGTGAAATCAAAGCATGGCAGCAGAAGCAGCAACAGCAACATGCAACGCAGCAGCAGCAGCAGCCGGAGGAGAGCAACTGCAACATGGACCGCAGCAGCAGCAGCAGTGGCATGCACCAGAGCAGCAGCAGCAGCAGCAACAGCATCATCATCAACGACATCTCTCTGTGCAACATGGAGGCGACGCTTGCAACAAATCGCTGGCGAAAAATGTGCGCGCGATAAATTTATGTTGGCAACATCAAATCGACGTAAATTACGCGACGCCTGGTTACCAGGCTGCCAGGCGGCGCTTTGGCTGTTAAATTCTTGCCACAAATCTTGAGGGGGGGAGGTGGGAGGCCCGAGAGCTGCAATCTGAAATCGCTGCAGCAGCAGCAGCAGAGGCGGAGTCAGAGACTGGGGCACCAAGAGCAAGATGGAGAGAGCGAGACGGAGAGAGAGCTGCAAAGATGTAGTGACTGTGGCAACACATTAATTCGCGCGTACTTAACACGACCGAGCGGTACGTACCCGAGATTCAAGTTGTTGCAGCTCGTTGCTGCAGGTTGTCATCCCATCTGTAATACAAACGCATGCCTCAATTGGTGGCAGGAATACTCGTAGAAGAGGAGTACAGTGTAGAGCAGAGCCTGAGCCATAGCCACAGCCAGAGCGAAGAAGCTGCCGGCACAAATTGCTGTTTGTAATTGATTTAAATACGTTGACGTTGCGTGGCAAATAACTCAAGCTTTCAGATTGCAGCAGGTTGCAAGTTGATTATATAGCCCCGGACATGGCTTGGCTGCTTAATTGCTGCCACAACCCCCGAGCTTTTCCAAATTGCTCGCTGAGTATTCAGTTTTATTTGGAGGCTGCCTCTGACTTGTGGTTAGCACTGAGAAATGAAAGGATAT